AAAAACAAATATTATAAGAAATGAACGAAAAAGCTGCTCTACTTTATATCCAATAGCTTTTAAACGTTGCACAATGAGATGCTTGATGCTAATTTACAAAATTATTTTTGTAGTTTAAGTAAATCTAAATGTGCCATTTTATTAATTTATTGTATTTTAAGCTGTAGAAAATACTTTTTTATGAAAAAATATAGTTCTTACAATTTTTAACTATTTAATTATAAGTTTAAGCTTAAAATAATAATATCAATTAATCTAAATATAATAATATCAATTGCAATTGTCATTATCTTGACATTCATTGACTCTAAAATAAAATTCAAATAATTGAAATTAGAAATAAACATATGAAGCTCAAGAAATTCATATTTATTACTAAATATTTTAATAAATTTATATTGGTTATATCACGGAAAACCGCATGCGGTTGATTTTTATGAAATTGTGAAATAGAAATTTTAACTTTTTTATTAAATTAAAAAAAAATTATTGAGAAATACAGAGAAGTACTATTATTATCTACTATTATTAATATTATCGAGTTTGTTAAAATTGGCTTAAGAAAATAACAAAAAAATTTGTTCAAAATGCTTTAGCTTAAAGTTGAAATAGTTACAATTTATTGGTGAATATAATTAAAATGTATTTAACATGTACCCCTTTTATCACAATTCTACTCACTTAAAACTATATCCTGAATAAAAAATATTCACTCGAAAGGATGCTATGAACGCCGAGGAAAAATACGTCTAATTATTAAAACGATAGGTTTCGACTGTCGGACTGCTCACTAATTTTTTATGCGTGACGATGGACATTAAGGTGCTTTTATATAACTCAAAACACAAATCGCAAAACGTAGTTTGGAAACGCAGACGCACAATGAAGATTAACGTTATTAGTTTATTTTATGCAGTTGCTTTTCTGTGTGCATCTTGTTTTGGTGATCGTCATTTTGCTTCAGTATTTGCGAATTACGATTTGGCCCGGAGCTCAAAATTGAGCAGGTTTGATGTAGAGGCACTCTTAGGTAACCAATTGTTTTCTGATTCTTCACCTTTCTTAAGTAATATTTTCAACTTCGAACGAGTTTAAAAAAAATTACCTTTGACCACCTAAATCGACAAGTATCCTATTGTGCGCTGCTTTTTGATTGGTGGAATGGGGGTAAAACACTAGTGAAGATACGCTCCATGAAATTGAGCACCTTAAAGGAAAGAAATCTCATTTTTGGAGTCAATCTCATCATAAAAATGTGAAATCAAGAATTTTGTTTCAAATTTTTCACTCTTTCAATAATGATAACGTTTTTAACTCTCTTGAAGTAAGATGTCACTCCAAGAAATTTAGACAATAAGCTGCAATATGATAATTGTGCTTGAATACAGTATATGTATATTAATGAGGCGTATATCAAATATTATTTTTAAATATTGTAACTAAAAACATATATATATATATATA